CAAGTTGACGCACTTTTTGCATACAGACAACATCATGTTTGGTTTTCGTGCATTATTCTAAAAGGAATCAACCTAAAACCATTTGATCCTGATTGGATCTTGATTTTTCTTATTTTCCATTTGAAGAAGTTTTTAAGATTGGAGTTTTTAGTCAATTTTTTAGATGGTGATGGTAGGTGATGTGGCCGACTAAACTTTGCCTTACCTTCTCCTTTGCTTATTATTTACAATGCGCTACACTACTAACCTATTTATTAAGTACGTATATTCTTTATATAAACGTCCTACAAAGCTTGCCTTTTAAAAAACTGAATATTCTTCATTTTCTTTTGCTGGAACACTGAAATTTGTAAAACAAATAATATTGTTTTATTATTGCAAGTAAACATAAGAAGTAGAGTAGCAATAAACTCAGAGGTGTTAATGATGAAAAACACACAACATTTGTTTACGTATGGTGAGATCAATTATAGTCGGCTCTAAAACAATATCAACATAAATGCTTCATAACTTCCTCTTCTTTGGTGAGAAAATTAAATATCCATTACGACGATAAACTACATCAGCGTCTTGGTTAAGACGATAAACTACGTCCAACAGCAAGGTCTCTGATCTGGCGGTTTTGAGGAGCGTGGAACCATCTCTTAATTGCTGTTGTATCCCAGGTCCACCCTGACCCGGAGTGGTAGCACCTGTTAGGGTACCAGCTATGGGCAAATAGTTAACCCCGAAACTTGGCTAAAAAAACTATGAAAGTGTAAAAATAGGTTTTAATACCAGAAATGCTTTGTAAAAGGAATATTATCAGCAATAAATTTTTGAAGAATAAAAACTATTACAAGCAATACATTTTTTTTTAAATATTACGAACATTATATTTTTGAAAAAAATATTACCAGCAATACATTTTTCGATAAAATTATTACCAGCAATACATTTTTGAAGAAAAAAATATTCCCTGCAATATAATATTTGGAAAAAAATATTACCAACGATACATTTTTGAAAAAAAAATATTACCATAAATAAAAATCTTGTCTGCATTAAATAACCCATTGAGGTGTTGATATGCCGTAAAACAAACCAAACCAAACCTAAATATCCATTGCATACCCCCCTATCTGCGGTTTGGATTTTCTCGATTTCCACCCAGGTTGAGAAAGTTTAATTAATAATAATCACAGATCGTTAGGGTAACACTGTTGAAAATACAGGTAAGTTTAAAGGTTTTCTCTTCATAAGGAAAGAAAATCGTAGACTGAAGTTTTAAAATATTTACGTCAAGAATAAATCGTCTGTCATATAACTTTTATTCCAATATATTGTTATAATTCTTCAGATTAATGATTACTTGTTGCTATAAATCTCTGATTGTGCCTAATGAAATCTATGGTAAAAATCAATTTCCTATCGGCTTCAAAACTTTAGTTACAATTGTGAAAACGAGGTTTGAGTTTACGTTTTTCGTAAGAAATGTTATCATTGGAAACACACTCGGTGTATTTTATTAGTTGAGACAGTTATGTCAATCCTAGATTAGTATAACTCAAGTATAACATTTCTATAAAACTAAGAAGCTGACCTGCCAAATTTTGTCATTCCAGATTGGAGGAAACGGCTGTACCAACTCATTGAACACAGCCTACTAAACACTGCTTGTCACAGTTGACGAGTTTCAAAAATGCAGTCGGGACGAGAAGACAATTTGGAATCTCACTATGCAATAAAGTTTTATATTGACAGAGATGGCTATCCAAAATTTATTCTATCATTCATACATATATATATTCTTATGGTCCACGTTCCTTGTACCACGGTGATGGTCCAAGGTTAGAACCAATGAAAGAAAAACACGAACACAGGTATGGAATACAAAGATATATTACAACAGAAATATAATACAAAGAAGTAGAAGTATTAGTAATGACTATCAGATTTGGTTAGAGTGAACTATGTTGTCTCAACAAGTATCACTATTCAATGTCCTTACAATATGCTCTCAATTATCTCTCCACGTCTTGCAATATCCTCATACCTCTTGAGAGGCGCAGTATTTATAATGTCAGGAATAGTCCACTATTATTATTATGGTTGTTCCCACAACACACACACACACACACACACACACATATATATATATATATATATATATATATATATATATATATATATATATATATATATA